TTTGTGGGTGTTTTATGTTGTTCGGTTGCTAGCGTACCTTTGGGGCGCCCTGTTGTGGCCACTGCTAGCTGAAGTTTGAGTGCCATCAAAGGTGTGTGAAAACTATGTGGCTTGTGGGAAAGCGACAAGTCTATTTTCAGGCGTCTTAGACATGGGGTTTCGAATCTGGGGTTTCATATCTATTCGAGTGGTCTGTGTCGTTCACGGTTACGAATACCTTCAGCGTGAAGTGCATCTGTAATCATTTGCTTTCGGTTTGTCTTCTGTGTGTATACTAGCAAATGTGGATGATCGGTTATCAAGAAGTGGGAGCACACAGACGTTGCACGGAAGAATTCGAGATTCTTTTCAGTGGAAGTTCCTGAGTGCGGAGCCGACAAGCCTGTGTAATTTTGACACTTGTTTGCAGAAATATCCTGAAAGTGACACGTCATATGAACATGTCAGTCCTAGGTCCAGTACAGATTCGAGTCTTGGAGGCGTATGGCCTTGAACGCCCACGTTGAGTTAAGGGCTGCATTGACCTATAAAAGGAAAGCCACATTTTTCAACACTAAAATCTGGTCACCGTCTGTACAAATTATTTCTGCATACAAATACAGATGTATTTAGGCCTCTCTCTTTGCGCAAAAGGATCAGTTTTAAGTGGTTCGCACACAGCCTGGGTTTACCAATACTGAAGCACTCAAAGATATTTTTGATGTACATCATGGAGAAGAGAGGCTCAATACATTTCCAAAAATAACACTACATATTACGTCTAATATTTCACCTTCAAACTTTATATATCAAGCAGTAATAAAAAAATACATTTATGCGTGAATAAAACCGTTTGTGGTTCATTTTACCGCCGTACACTTTCTATTGGACACACATTTTATCATTCGCCACCCTTATGTCCCGTCATAATACTCCGTCAACAGAAGAGTTGGTCCAGGTGGTGTGTCTCCTTGTTACAACAGCGAGGCATGTAGGATTTTACTGACCAAACACTTGGTTAGGCTAGTGTCCGACTTTACTGGTGGAAGTCGCTGGCCAATCGTGCTTAAGCAGAGGGCGCTCTTTAGTGAAGACGCTTTAGTCAGACGTTGAGTTAAGGGCTGCGGTGACCCACACACAACTGCTCCATTTAAAAGGAGAGCCGTTACTGACTTTAAAATCTGCTAAACGTTTTTGGAACAAGCATGGCTGCGGAGTTTGTCTCAGACGATCCTTTTCTCAGTATCTCACCCTTGGCAGGGTCTTCAACGACAGCTGACATGGCTTTCGAGACCATTAAGCCATTAACGGGTATTTTTTCAGCCTCACGTACTAGCTGCCACTGTAACAAAGACTTTCACTCAACAAGTTTAGACATCATATAAACTTAACGACTGGTGTGTAGTCTCAGGAAGGAGCCTACTGCTGGAAGTTCTTGCACAGTCTTTTCCATCCACCTTGCAGTAAGTCTTCCTCACGTTTCTGGAAAACATATTCTTAATCGCGAAACAGCCTTAAATTTGCCAATGCACAACAGTGTACTAGTTCTTACACCTCTGACATCAGTCTGTCATGAATTGTGTAAGCTGGCGCATGATAGCAGCTGGTGTTACTGGCGGACCACTCCCACGGCACTTCTTCTATATCACACGGAGCAATCCTGCAATAAGTTTCTTGATTTACACCAGGGTAGAAGCTGGAGTCATTCAGCCTAAAATGGAAAAGTGTCTGAGGCGAGACTAATAAGCATGTAGGAATTATAACTTCTCCATCACCTATCGATTTCTCTTTCTTTGTTGAGCGGTCCTGAATGATTAATGCTTTTTCCTGCTTCGCTCATTTTGCTGTTTACAAAATATACTTTCAACAGCATCCGTAGCCTTACACTTTATCGGGCAGTGTTTGGGACACATAAATTGATGCGATTATTGACTACTTGAAGGTAACAAATCAGGAAGACAAAAACCAAGGATCTGAATTGCAACGCAGGTAATTAAAAGGCTGAGCAAATTGAAGTCCTAGAGCAGGGTAGTTATATCCCGTGAATTCTGAGTTCAATTTATCTTTAAAACGGCTCTGCCAATATTTCTATTTCTCTTTTCGTTCAGGAGTGGTTTCACGTATTCAGTAAGTGAGGTGAGTAAAAACTGAGTAGATTTTCCGATACAGTCTGGAAATAGTCTTGTAGCTACAAGTGTTCTACAACGTTGAATTCTATACAGCCGTATGGAGCACTGCATGTCCAGAGACCAGTTTCTGATCTCTCAAGGTACAGTATTGTGGACTCGGAAGTTCTCCCAAATCATTCAATATGAAGCTATCAGTGAAGTTTCGGCAACCGAAGCGCAGAAATTACAGGAGAAAAATTATGTACCGACAGACAATTTAGGGGTGATTTGATTATGTTTCCATTTCTTAATAACACCAGATTAAGTGAAACAAAAACCAAAGCTACTGCTGTGAAAAGTATAAGTTTATCTGCGAATGGTTTCTGGTGAGTGCAACCCTTAGTCTTCTCTTATATACTTTTGTCTTTGGAAATCAAATAGCCACCTAGTCTCGAATGTTTCTTAGCCTCCCCAGTTTCTCTCGTATAAACTTGTGAAGTTTTCAGAATTCCTCTTTGCAAAGAGGTTCTTTCCAAGAAACTGCATCTACTCATGCAGATTTGTCCATAGAAAATTACTAACACCCTCTCAAACAGTGCATTGATCAATTCCTGTTTGTGTTTCACTGGACAGTCGGGTATATATTAATATATTTCGGGTCTGTGCAACATTATGGTACATCAAGATCACATCTCTGCCGTTATCTTCTGTTCTCATGCATAAATCGGGGAAGTAAATTTGACTGTTACGTTTCTATTCCAGTGCGAAACCAGTTTCGTTTCCTTTGTTTCTAGTTTCTCCCCTGTAATATTTGGCCAATAAAAATCTCAATTGTCTTTTCTAGTTGCTTCATCAATGTGACCAGAAACTCACTTATTGAGACAAGACTCCGAATGCTCCTATTAAATTGGTAGTCCGCATCCAACATAAACCAAAGACTTTAGAGAAGAAAGTTCTTTTTACGACACCTTAATTCTTATTGGTGTGCAATCATATGTATGTATATATATACGTAGAAAACAGTGATGTCTTCATGCATATATGTTTGTCAAATTTTGAATCTTCTTCCATTATTTCACTAGATGAAGTATTTTGCAGTAAGCCGCCCACTATAAACTCTGAAATTCCTCCCTGACTTACTGTGAATTACTAATTTTCAAGTATTGCTTTTGTAGGGATTGTGTCTCTGAGTGGTTCAGTGGTTTAATCATGAGTCGATATCAGCCAGAGAATTATTGAAATTTCTGGGAGTACTGCGAAGCCATTTCGTTTTCTTCAGCAGCTCGCACCCACCGCCAGGTTTCGAACCCAGAACCTTCTGGTTACAAGGCGAGCTTGTAGACCATCCAGCCACTGGGACTCGATCTAATGGCTCACTGGTGACTGGCCCTATTCAGGCAGTTAACCTGGGGTTCTAGTTGGAAGCAGTGACCAGTAGGGTGCAGCAAGTTGAATGCGAGGCAATAACTCACCGAAGAAGATATTACGAAGTGGCCACACTATGTCATGAATTGGCAGAATTTGGAATTCATGGACTAGCCATTGCATTGGGTGACAGTGGCTTAATGGTCTACGAGCTAGCGTGCCTTGTAACCAGAAGGTCCTGGGTTCGAACTCTGGCACGATGGTGTGTACTTACTGCTGAAGAGTCCCAAACTAGGACGGAAATGCTGTGCAGTTCTCCTAGGTTTTCCAATGGTTTTCTAACTGACGTCAGCTCATGATTAAAGCGTCCAACCGATTACTGATTTCTTTTCCAGTCAACTTTAATGTCCATTGTGTCACACCTTGATGTGCTCGCTGCATCTGATTAATGTTCACTAAAAGCGAATATGCTAGGCACGCAACTATCTTCGAAACACGTCTATGAAAACTCGCATACCAGTTTAAAGCGTCACAACGTACTAATGATCTCCTCATTACTCATAGTTCTGTCTATGAACATAGGGACATAGTACAAGCCTACACAGAATCGGATGCAAATAAGAGTTATTGCAGTCAATTCTGACCGAAGGCAAAATACAAAATAGCTGGTAATCTTTCGAAGAATGTAGGTAGATCACCCGCCAAAATAAATTTTTCCTACCATAAGCGCCTAGCGAATGCTTCGTCTAAATTGAACAGTAGTAGATTCCTGATTAATCCAAACATGAAACTCCTTGAGTGAGGTGAAAGCGGGAGCTTTCACGGTGTGAGAAGTCGCTTTTTGTCACTATAAAAAATCTTCGAGCGAGGACTTCTACACTTAATTTTACCGAACGAGATGTATTCTGAATTGATTTTCCTGGAAAATGCTTCGCTGACTTTTCTTTCAAAATGATTTTATTGCAACTGAAGACGGGATCTTATCCGACCCTGTTCAGCTTGAAACGTTGATCGTGAGTGACAAAGCATGTGCGAATCTATCAGCGAGGCGTGGTGTCAAAGTAGCTGCGTTGTGATACGGTGAGAGGGGACACCTACGCATTTATAGAGAACCCATTTATTTAGGAGTCAATATATTTCACTTAACCGAAGTTAAGTGAAAAATTTCATATAGAAACTCCGAATTTATACAGTCAATCAAGGGCGGAGAAAAGACGAAAGACTGTCACAAATTTCATAAGCATTATGACAAAAATAGCTTTTCACCATAATCGGCTATCGACCTTCGGAATACTGTAGTTCACTGAGTAGCCCACATACTTGCTATTGCCAAGAATGAAGAGAACGCCTTGCTTTGGGGTTAGACAGATTCTGAAGAGAATTAGAGTTAAATCTTAAGATTTCATTGAATCTATTCATTAAAGTAAAAACCAAAAAATTGTAATAGAGAAATTCCAATAACACTTCAAGACATAATACCCGGGCGAACTTTATGGAACTAGACCAAAGAATGCAAATTCCTAATTTCTTTTATCATATGAATCACGTTGGACAATTCACGCTGCTGGCCTTGAAGGAACGTGGTGTTTCAAGTGCAAGTCACGATGAGCATTGGTGATTTGGAGGATGATCAGATTACAGGAGAAGGTTCAAATCAGAGTGAAAATGGAGACACATCAAATGAAATGATGGAAGTTGATGAATGCAACGTGAAGAATGAAGTATACATTCCAGGTCGTTCACGACCTCTTGAGGATGATGAAGAGTTGATTATGGACAAAAGCGCCTACAGAATGTTTTTCGAGCTAGAAGTGGAGTACTCCAGCCTTAGCTTCGATATTTTGACTGATAATATGGGTTCTGATCGTTGCGTTGAGGTTAATGGTGGTGCTCACAGTGCTTGTATGATAGCTGGAACACAGGCATCTCAAGGTAGTCAAAACAAACTCATCGTTATGAAGTTGTGCAACATGATTCCATTCAAAAGAAAGGTTAGCCTTCGTTTTCATGTGATGTGATAGAAATACTGTGGACAGGTGTTCAGGTTTCTTTGGTTTAACCCTTTGTTTGTCACTTTTGAGTTCTAATATTACTCAAGGTTCAGGTTCTCATTCTTAAAAATAAACCAGAAACTTAGTGCTACTGCATAAATAATGGTATATTTAAAGGAAATAAGTGGTGTTTGGGGAGTCTGTCGTGAGGCTAATATCAGAACTCACAGCGTTCTAAATAGATATGCAAACGTACTCCACCTTGGTAAGTTTAATCTTTGAGGTGGATTATCTAATAGAATGTAGATTTCGTGACATTTGTTATTGTGTGTTTCACCCATGGCTTACAATTCTTGTTTATTCTTCACCCACGAAGTAGAGTGGTGTAAAGTGGTGAAGTAGGCTCTGCACATTCCTCATTCAATGTGTTGTCTCGGAACTATTCGTAGTGCTGTAAAGAATTGTAGAACTCCAGAAGAATGTGAATCGTTATCTTAAATACTGTTTCGTGATTCTAATTTTAATGACACTAGCTGTGGCTCACTATACTAAGCGTCCAGCTTCAAAAATGCCGTACTTACTGAGGTGTTGGATGGCAGGTTGTATAAATAGCCCATACTAGGTGATAACTGCCAACTGCTTGGAAGTACAAGCATTTGTTGAGTTCTTTCTGCCTTTAATTTTGGGAAATTTCAAAGAGCACCTTTGGGCTCTTCATTTTTTCTGTACTAAATAAAAAGCTTTTGGAGACACGAACGAAAGATTTAATAAAAGACACTTTAGCATCATTTTGTTTGGTCCTTCTGTACACACGAATACTATATTCTCTTGCTAGATATTCATTTGGTTTCAGGTTTGATCACGGACTGGAAACCGTCGAAGATGAGGTATCACTGGTCAGCTGTCTCATCCTAGTCCAGGGCACCCATGACCCCACTGGTGATCATATTGAGTGTCCGGGTTACCAGGCGAGCTTGTTGACCATCTAATGGCCCATGAATTCCAACTTCTCTCAGTTCGTGATTTTTAGCGTCACCACCAATCAATTTAGCTGATATCAATCAGTGATCAAACTAAAAACCATTCAAATATCTTTGAGGAAATACTTGGAGGTGTTTGGTCACTTGTTGCTAGATAAGTAGTAGTACCTTTTTCTACAAGATTGTTATTCACTTGTACAGGATTCTACGGACGAAGGTCAATCGAGTTCCGAAGATGAAAGCGATTCTGACGAGGAAAATTTGGATGCGCAACCTGATGTCGAAGCTGCAACCATCTTACATCAAGGTACAGTTAACCGAGTTCGGGCCAAACAACAGAAAGGCCGCTATCTGGCTGCATCGTGGTCAGAAAATGGAATGGTTAGTGTTACAGTTTTTGAAATTGGGTTGAGCTCACAAAATGAATATTCAGTGCAGTATTATTACATTATATTTTAAACTATGGAAACAGTTTTATATACATTAAATTATTAAAATCGATACCAACTTGGAAAACGGAACTTTGACGTTTTGTTGAATTGTTTCTACGCCCCATACTCGTCCTGCTGGTGTTCACGCAGTTTCGGAAAATAAAGTCCATAGGTAATATTGGTCTGTTGTCTGAGTCATCGGTCATCCCATAGAAAGTTACCAAGCTTGGACGTTTATTCGACCCAAGTTTATAGAAAAATATAGGCTTACACCTCAGAAATTCCAAAAGAAATTACTGGAATTAACGGTTCAATATCTATAATTTGCTTGAATGAATTGGCCTCACATTTTAACAAAATATTTACTATCACGGTATGTAGATTTCACAAATTTCCACGGTTATCATTTGAAAGGTTCTTCATTATCAGATGGGTTTGAGTTTGACTTAAAATCTGTTAATTGTTTCTTGTGTAGATTACTTTAAGCATTTAATTTACCTGAAACATTTTGTGTATCAGCTTATGGTTTATCTGTTTATTACTTTTTTATTTTGTTACTTGTATATTCGATAATTTTCAAATATGATGTCAGCCAGCTCTATCTCCTCCTTCAGCAAAAAACCATTCTTTGCCCTTTAGGTCTTCATTTGGGATTTAACCAGGCCTCTTACAGCTGTAAACGACTCAGCTGTTATGGCAGAGTATACTCGTCACGATGAATCTCCTTCACCACTATTTACATTTAAAGGTCATAAAACAGAAGGCTTTGCTTTAGATTGGAGTTCTCATACTAACGCCGTAGGACATTTGGTCACAGGAGATTGTAACGGTTGTATTTATTACTGGAAACCTCGGGTGAGTTAGATTTTGGTTTTCACGTCTTTTTCCTCAAATAGTTTTTGATAAGTAGTAATAAGGTAACAAAAGTTATTCATATTTGTGCATATTCAAATTAACTTTCATAAACTCTAGTTGAAAATTGTTCTAGTCTGAGTTACTAAGTTTTCATATTAGATAATTTTGTTTTAAATATTACAGTGATGCAGTATTAACAACTATATGACGTTTCGAGCATAAATTATTGCTCATAATTATGTAAATTTATAATATGATACAAAAAAAATGCCAAGAAACTGTAATACACAAATATGTGGGTTAAAAATATTTAAAAGAATAACGGGAATTTAGTATATATGGTAGAACATTAATAGTGAATACAACTGCACAGTTGAGTGAGGCTTCTAGCCATGTCGCAGACAGTCTCCAAACATCACTTCTTAGCACCCCGAGTATTCCGTCTATTCTCCAACATTAGTCTAAGATTTCACATAGATTTAAGCCTATTTTTGATTTGATCAATCCCAACTTTCTTCTGCCCGACCTGCCTGTCTGTCTCAATCTGAATTCAACATAGAACTTGGCACCGAAGTGCAGCAGTTCGAGTTGACACGTTCCAAATAGCACACAAAGGTAGACAAGAATCAATAGAGTTTTGACAAGTATAAGAGTGAAACAGAATGAGTAATGGTAGAGAGGAATATGAAAGATTACAGAGACTGAATACATCTACGCCATTGACAACGATTTTGAGCCATGTCACCTATTGTCTCCAGCCATTGATTCTTACAGTCCCGAGGGCCCCAACCCGGAAGTCTGTATCTCCCTACCTGACTTAGTTTAGCTGTCAAGGATTTCATGGATTGATGCCATGTTTTTGTTTGGCCACCACTTACTCTTTTCCAACCTGCACCTATATCGGCTAGTAATGCCCGTCGGGGGAGGCGATGGTTAGGCGTGCGCAGCACGTGACCTAGTCATCTCAATCTAAGTAACTTTATAGCCTCGTCGATTGATTTTCCGTCTTTGCCCATTACTTACCCTATAATACCACCTAACGTGAGAAAGAGATCGTAGACATCTATGATCAAAAACAGACAACCTTTTCATGTCTTCAACTCGTATTGGTCATGTTTCAGAGCCATAGAGAAGGACGGGGTGAACTACTGAGCAGTGCACACGTCCCTTGGTTGATAGCCGGATGTCACGCTTTTTGGATCCGTGCTGAGATTTCGTCACCAGTCAGTCCGTTGGTGCTGATACAACTTCCCAAATAGGTGAAGTGGTCAACATGTTCTATCACTTCACTCCCTATCACTAAGCTAGGAGTTGACGTAGTCCAGTCCTGTAGCAGCATCTTACATTTTACAGGGGCGAATCGCAAGCCAAACATACGAAGATTGCTGCTCAAGGTGTTCAGAAGACTCTGCATTTTGTCAGCATCCTCCCCTAACAGGATTATGTCATCTGCATATTCTAAGTCCATAAGACGATTCCCTGGTAACAAGTCGATTCCTAAGTCGTTAAGTTCAGTTAAGGATACTTCCATTGGCATATCTATGATGAAGTTAAACAGAAATGGGGAAAGTGGACGTCCCTGACGGACACCACTGGTTGTTATCAATTCAGATGACAATTCCCCATAAGCCCTAACACGACTACGTGAGTTTGAGTAGAGTGCCTTGATTAGTGCAATGTACTTTCTTGGCACTCCCTTCACAGTCAAACATTGCCATAGTACCTTTCGATCCACGGAGTCGAAGGCCGCCTTCAAGTCAAGAAATATGGCAATTGTTGGACGCCGAAAAGTGTGTCTATGTTCTAGGATCTGTCGGAGAGTGAAGATATGATCTATGCACCCTCTACCTGGCCTAAAGCCTGCTTGATATTCCCTCGTTTGTTCTTCCCGAGTTCTGCTTAGTCTGTGCATGATTACTGAGCCTAGGATTTTAGAAACTATGTTCGTTAGGCTGATCCCCCTATGATTATCACATGAGGACTTGTCTCCCTTCTTGAATATCGGTATAATAAGTGACTTACCCCAGTCTGATGGAACCGTCTCTGATTCCCAGACGTTACGTAGTACCTTAGTTAATCTGCATATTAGTATGTCACCCCCATATTTAAACACCTCCGGAATAAATCCGTCGGGTCCTGCCGCTTTGCCTCGTTTCAAATTACGGATAGCTTTTGTGACCTCACTTACAGACGGCGGGCCAGTGTCTATATCCCATTCGGGTATGTGCTGGATGGCGGAGAGGTTCAGTGTGGTTGTATGCAAGTTAAATTGTTCCTCAAAGTGTTCTTTCCAGCGTTCAAGGCGTCTATCCTAAGAGCTAATTAAGGAGCCATTTTTCTCAGAAATAGTCTCACTTATGATTTGCCTTCTCCCACCCGTTTCCCTGATGAGTCTAAAGAGTTGCTTAGTGTTGCCTATCGCCGATGCTCTTTCCATCTCTTTCGCCTTTGTCACCCACCACTGTTCACGGTCCTTGTGGAGACTTTTCGTAAGTTTCCTTTTGTGCAGCTTTCGCTCCTCATTGAATTCGGAGCTCACCGGAATAAGTCTTCTAGCATCTATCAGTTCGAATGAGGCAGTCGAAATCCAATGGTTTTTACTCACCTTTGGATTTACCTTATTCACAGCTTTTACAGCTGTATCTATGGCTGACTGAATATTCTTCCAGGCTTCTTCAGGGTGAGCACAGCTGTCGAACTCAGATATGTGTTTAGCTAGTTCTTCCTCAAATAGGGACTTAGTTTCCTGATCGAGCTGGGGACGTGATGGGTTTACTGCCAGCTGTTTCCTACGTCCGTTCAGTCGTAAGCACACACGAGCGCGGGCCAGTGCGTGATCGGTATCTCAAAAGCCTCAGGATGGTCGGGGGTGGGTGCCTTGCGCTGCGGGTTGGCCACCCCTCCGCACACCTCTTGAAATGCTCCCCCCATATGACCGGGCGTCTTACATAGCCTCTCCTGAGGAAGTCCTACTCACTGCCTTCACGTGGCGGAGGTGTTTTTCACCAAAGTGAGAGGGCGAAAGCGGATGCCCGGCGCTCTTCACCGGGTTGACTGTCCATTGGATGACAGTCTAGGGGAGATGGCTAAACCCTGATTCCAAACCTCCAACGACTGGCGTATGAAGCTCACTGGAGCTCACCGACAGACGTATGGACAAAGGGCTTGTTGGATGTCCTGGATGTCTGGCTCCATTCAAAAAGGCGTATGAACCGAACTCCGGTCACCGGCTGCCAATGGATAGTGGACTCCCTATTCCACTCCTACTGCCTTGTAGGTCACACTTGGTTGTGCAAAGGCTAGAGCTGCACTCTCAAAGAAAAGGCCGAGCGATTCTGGGGACATCACTCGTACCAAATTCCCATGAAACTTCATGAACTCTCTTAGATGTTCATGAAGCCGGCTCATCCTTCCGTAGGAGATAGCCGAAGTAAAGTAAGTATCGGTATCTACACACGTGTTCCAGAAGGAGCGATAATCTCCTACCGACCCACGCCAACGATAACTTATTGCTTTGTGGTCTATTTGTGTCCAGCGTTGGTTTTATTATGGGGGTCGCCAGGTCAAACAGTGTCTCTCCTTGTGTTTGAAGTTAGTGCTTACAAGAAACAAATGATTATCTGAACAGAACTGTAGGAGACGGTCACCGTTGTCTGTTCGCTGGCACGGAACTCCATAGGTGCCACCGACACCCTTCTCAGATTGACACAATTTCCCTACTTGAGCATTAAAGTCACCAGCTAGAACGACTATATCTGAGCGTTTAGCTTTTCGCAGCAAACTAGACAGCTTTTGGTAGAACTTATCCTTCTTTTCATCCGAACTGCAGTCAGTGGGGGCGTAGGCGGAGATTACGAAAAGGCATCGGCGAGTAGTGCAGTCCTTTCTCCTTTTTACTGATCCGTTCAGACGGACAGCACACACTCGGCTATCTACCGGGATCCAGTCAAGTAATGTCTTTTCTGCCCTAGTACTCAAAGCTATCCCTACACCAGCTAATCCTCGTGAACTAGCTGTGGCATCTCCTGACACCCTCAAGGTGAATTTTGCAGATTCATCCTGTTAGCCAGGTGGGGTTAGGTGAATAACCACACTTGGGTCTTGTATGCGTGTTTTTGAAACACAACATACATCAATGGCTCGGGATGCCAGAGTCTTGACTAGTGATGCTTGTTGTCCTATTTGGCAAAGTGTCCTAACATTAAATGCTCCTATATGAAATTGGTGGCGTGGCTTTAGGAGACTGTCGGTAGTGGCTTTTTGGCTTCCGTCGTTTTTAGTGCACACAGAGTGAAGAGGAAGTGAAGAGCCATTAAGTAGAGGAGTTGCACTAGTAGAAGGAAGGCAAGATAATAGAGATAAAGATGAAGACAAAGATGAGTGAGGATTACAGAGGTTTCGCGTGCATTTCGGATTGTGAGGGCAATTGTTACAATCCGAAATGCACGCGAAACCTCTGTAATCCTCACTCATCTTTGTCTTCATCTTTATCTCTATTATCTTGCCTTCCTTCTACTAGTGCAACTCCTCTACTTAATGGCTCTTCACTTCCTCTTCACTCTGTGTGCACTAAAAACGACGGAAGCCAAAAAGCCACTACCGACAGTCTCCTAAAGCCACGCCACCAATTTCATATAGGAGCATTTAATGTTAGGACACTTTGCCAAATAGGACAACAAGCATCACTAGTCAAGACTCTGGCATCCCGAGCCATTGATGTATGTTGTGTTTCAAAAACACGCATACAAGACCCAAGTGTGGTTATTCACCTAACCCCACCTGGCTAACAGGATGAATCTGCAAAATTCACCTTGAGGGTGTCAGGAGATGCCACAGCTAGTTCACGAGGATTAGCTGGTGTAGGGATAGCTTTGAGTACTAGGGCAGAAAATACATTACTTGACTGGATCCCGGTAGATAGCCGAGTGTGTGCTGTCCGTCTGAACGGATCAGTAAAAAGGAGAAAGGACTGCACTACTCGCCGATGCCTTTTCGTAATC